GAGAGAGATTACCTGTTGCACTGAAACCTCATTACAGTGAACACTAAACTGCAGTGTGTGCAGGGAATGTGAAGAGAGTGCCACTGTGGCTGCTGGATATACTGCAGGCTAGAGCTGATTTAGTTAACTGTTCACAGCCTGAAAGAGCCAATACAGTGGATACATTTTCAAGTGTTTACCCTCACCTTCGTGATGCTAATGACACCAGTGAGGGCACTGTGATTAAAGCTGCAAACCACAGATAACAATAATAACGAGGGAAAAAAACAAGAATAGACAAATATTGAAGAGTGCATATTGGCTATACAGTACCTAACTCTTTTTTTACAATATCGTGGCATCTAGCAGTGAAGTTGCAGATTGAAACAATTTGAATACAGCTCAGCTTTCCAAGCATGTAGAAGAAACTATGGTGGTCCCAAAACTCAATAAAACTTTATTATCATTATTTTTTTATGAGATTTATCATCAGTGATAGTTAGATGAGAAGTACCACCCAAATTTGTTTTTGGGACAGGCTTCCCCCTGTTTCTTGTCTATATGCTAACCTAACCAGCTGCTGACCCCAGCTTCATACTTGCAACACAGAAACGAGGGTGGTATGTGAGCAAATTACTGGCTTGTCTTAAGTAACTCATGAGAGTGTTACAGTGGGTGCTGTTGCGTTTTAATACAATACAAAAGATAAGTGAAAGGAGAAATGAAAGGGGTGTGGACATGAAGATTCAACAGAAAGGAAGGTGAAAATAAAGTTTGAATTTCTGGTGAAAACAGAAAGACAGCAATGAGCTTTGAATCAAAGAAAGCGGGAGGGGCCGTGTGGATGGCGCTGAGCAGCGATGGCAGTTTGGTAATTTGTGGTGAGGGTTGCTGGCTGGGTGTGCCCATTTTCTGCAATGAAAAGGAGGAAGTAAAACAGGGCAGGCTCCTCTCTCATCTTCAGATTAAATGACTCAAGAGGAGCTGCTAGGATGAGGGTGAGTCAGCTGGGTGAACAGACAGACGGACAGACAGTGCTGACTAGTATGGCTCATTGGTGCCTGGTACTGCGCCCTGAATACCAGCAGAGCGCTGCTTAATGAAACACACAATCTGCTGGCACTGAGATCAGAGGATCTTTGTGCATTTTTCAGATTTTTTCTAAAAAGGGTTTAGGAATGAGTGAGAGTTCTGTGTCCGAAAAGCAACCCCCCCAATATAGAAAAGAAAATATTCCTGAGGCACGCTGCATGGGAACATGAAACTCACAGAGATGGCATCTTAAAAAGCTGACCACAACCTCGATAATCACAATCTCTGCTGATGATCTTATCTGTCAACAGCAGCTCCACCTCTTCCTGCCTGATATGGGGTACAGCAGCCTTTGGCACGAGGTACAAACACTGCCAGCACCTCACCTGTGGCTGCGGCAGGGAGCAGTAACACGTGTGTGGAAACCATGAAGTGAGCCAGACATACCCCCCCAGCAGGGGATGACAAGGACTCACTCATGTCTGATTCACACACACTCAGTCACACAAACCTCTTCCTTTCCTTCCAACCACAGACTCTCTGTTGATAAAGGTCTCAAAGAGAAGAGTGTCTGGGGGGGGGACGGACGACACCTGATAGGATTAGTCAGTCCTATGCAATTTCAACAATGGGTTGAATTAACAGTGAGATTAAATGTGGGAACAAGTCCATCAGGGACCCTTGAGCCTCTTTGAGAGCCACCCATGCTCTGCAGTGAGAAAGCACAACACGAGGAGGCTGTATTCTCTAAGTTTTGTATCACAGCTCAGCAAAAAATGTCTTTAATTCACTTGCAGTCTGATAAACAACTGCAAAATCACCAGTGTAGCAAGCAGGCAGGCAGCTGCATGTAGGCAAAGCCCATTAAACCCAGTTTTATGTCACCAAGCGTGAGCCAAGTCCTGTCGAATGCTATGGAGATCCAGCCCACTGCACGACATGATCACAGACAATAGCCCTGTGTCTCTCTCCCTCTCTGTCTGTGTGTGTGTGTGTGTGTGTGTTTGTTTGTGTGTGCACAGGACCTGCTCTATCCTACTAGGCCTGAATGACTTCCCGGCCCACAGAGTTTGGCCCGGACCTGGCCCAGCCCGGCTGAAGCGGCAGGGAGCACAGAAAGCCTCGGGCCCCCTCTGCACAGTCAGACCCCCTCCTCCCAAAACAATCTGCCTCAGTTCTGGACAGCCGGAGACAATAGCGCTGCGCCCCTGGACACCAGGAAAACGCCTGCTTTCTCACTGAAAACACACACTGTAATATTACTACGGCAACTGTTCTGGAGATTTATCTAACATTCCGTTGCAGGAGAAAAAGTGTTTTCACCTCTTCTTCTTTTTAAAGTGACAGATTTTTTCTACTGGGCAGCAGCATGCTCAACTTCATTCCCCCTGCAGGCATGCTCACATACACTGTCCGTTTCATTATCACCATCAATTTAAATTTGTAGTGCAATGTATCTGTTGCCCAGAACCACTCAAGCTATTTTTTTCAAGAAAACCAAACACACAAGCACAAACTACAGCCTTAAAGAGAGGAGAGGCCACCTGGATAAAGCTTAAGATGTGTTGCCAAACCAAAGCGCGCAACCTGGCACTCATTCATTACACTCTGCGTTGTTTTTGTGCTGTGCACAAACTTTTTTCACTCACCTATGGACACCAGCTTAATGTTCTCCTTGTCCAGGAACTCCAGAGCCACCGACACGTTCTCCAGCTGCATCTGGCGGAAAGTGGGCCTCTGGTTGTACTTTCTGAACATCTTCTTCTGGGACAAGACCTCCAGGAGCCCGATGAGGCGCAGCCCGTCGCTGAGGTCCGTCTGCAAGTTGCCGATCCTCTTGTTGACGCATTTCAGGTGCTCGTTACACCAACGGGTGAAGGTGTTCTGCTGGATCTTCTTCCACGGCGCATCCTCGGCCAGGTCCTTCTCCGTGGCGGGCATTTCTGCGTCCTTGTCCGTGGAGAGAGCGTTGGGAGCGGGCGCGGCGCTCTGGTGGAGCCGGGGGTGTGAACCACTCATTTTTATGGTCTCGACTGTCTCTCGGTTCGCTGGCTTTTTTCTGGGTGGAGTCTGCTCAACTTCGCGTGGCCGCTCCCCTCTTTCTCTCTCTCGTTTTGTGGCTCGTCTGTGTTTTTGGGGAAAGAAAAAGAAAGAAAGGAGAGGACAGAGAGACTGACTTATAGCCCGGAGACAGAGGTTTTGTAGAGAAAGTAGGCGGTTATGGCACCGGAAAGTAGAAAAGGGAGTTAGTTTGGATGAAAGTGATGGCACAAGCGATATGCTCGCACCGTTTGACTAACACTGACTTTTTTTTACTTTTTACGTCTCCCAAACTAAGAATAAACTCACTCACATTTCAACTCTATCTTAAAAGATGGCAGTTAATCATTTAAGACTATCTGAAGCTGTGGGGGACGATCGGCATAATTCTCATACATTCTCAACCTTCTTCCCAGTTATCATATTAGGGTAAAATCACCCAGATATTGGACATTAGTCTGATAAATCAACTTTACACCATTTTAAGAAGACACAGTTTGACCTCAATACTTAAAGATCCCCTTCAGACATGTATAACTACATACAAATAGTCCATTTGGAACAATAATGTGTATCTCATGCGTTTTTATGCAAAACAACGTATCACTTCCACTTTAAAGTCTTTAAAAAGTCACCTCCTCCTTCTACCTCATTAAAACAGTCAGTAAAGACCTCCCAGGAATCTCCCTGAGTATGCAACATGTTGTTGATTTCTTAAAGTTTTGCTGCTGGACAGCCAAGATGTCTCCTCCTTCCACTGTAAAGTCATTCGTCAGTGGATGTGCACTGGTGGCTTCAGTTCTACAAATCACACTGTTAACAAGTTGATACGGGACCCGGAGGGATTTGACCTTCCAGACTATTTTGTGATGGATTCACAGGCCACACAAATCCTACTGCTGGAGGCCCGCCCTTAAAATCAGATGTTGAA